GATCACTGTCATACCCTCTCTCCTGTACATACCGATCACTGTCATACACCTCCACAACTCCTCTCCTGTACATACCGATCACTGTCATACCCACACTCCACTCCTCTCCTGTACATACCGATCACTGTCATACCTCCACACTCCTCTCCTGTACATACCGATCACTGTCATACCTCCACACACCTCCTCTCCTGTACATACCGATCACTGTCATACCTCCCACACTCCTCTCCTGTACATACCGATCACTGTCATACACTCCACACTCCTCTCCTGTACATACCGATCACTGTCATACCTCCACACTCCTCTCCTGTACATACCGATCACTGTCATACCTCCACACTCCTCTCCTGTACATACCGATCACTGTCATCACTCCTGTACATACCGATCCTGTCACCTCTCCTGTACACCGTCCTCTCTCCTGTACATACCGATCACTGTCATACCTCCACACTCCTCTCCTGTACATACCCATCACTATATAACCTCCACACTCCTCTCCTGTACATACCGATCACTGTCATACCTCCACACTCCTCTCCTGTACATACCGATCACTGTATACCTCCACACTCCTCTCCTGTACATACCGATCACTGTCATACCTCCACACTCCTCTCCTGTACATACCGATCACTGTCATAACCCCCACACTCCTCTCCTGTACATACCGATCACTGTCATACCCTCCACACTCCTCTCCTGTACATACCGATCACTGTCATACCTCCACACTCCTCTCCTGTACATACCGATCACTGTCATACCTCCGCACTCCTCTCCTGTACATACCGATCACTGTCATACCCCCCACACTCCTCTCCTGTACATACCGATCACTGTCATACCTCCACACTCCTCTCCTGTACATACCGATCACTGTCACACCTCCACACTCCTCTCCTGTACATACCGATCACTGTCATACTCCAACTCCTCTCCTGTACATACCGATCACTATATAACCTCCCACACTCCTCTCCTGTACATACCGATCACTGTCACTGTCTCTCCTGTACATACCGCTCACTGTCACACCTCCACTCCTCTCCTGTACATACCGATCACTGTCATACCTCCACACTCCTCTCCTGTACATACCCGATCACTCACTAAACCCTCCACACTCCTCTCCTGTACATACCGATCACTGTCATACACCTCCACACTCCTCTCCTGTACATACCGATCACTGTCATACCTCCACACTCCTCTCCTGTACATACCGATCACTGTCATACCTCCACACTCCTCTCCTGTACATACCGATCACTGTCATACCCCCACACTCCTCTCCTGTACATACCGATCACTGTCATACCCCCCCACACTCCTCTCCTGTACATACCGATCACTGTCACACCTCCACACTCCTCTCCTGTACATACCGATCACTGTCATACCTCCACACTCCTCTCCTCACTGTACATACCTCCTGTACATACCGATCACTGTCACACCCCCCACACTCCTCTCCTGTACATACCGATCACTGTCATACCTCCACACTCCTCTCCTGTACATACCGATCACTGTCATACCTCCACACTCCTCTCCTGTACATACCGATCACTGTCATACCTCCACACTCCTCTCCTGTACATACCGATCACTGTCATACCTCCACACTCCTCTCCTGTACATACCGATCACTGTCATACCTCCACACTCCTCTCCTGTACATACCGATCACTGTCACTCCTCTCCTTCTTCCCCGACAAAATGGCAAGTTTTGCTATCACTGTATTTTGATATGGAGACATTTTGAAGAAAAGGCTGAGGATGGAAGCAAACAACAATTTATTATAAATACAATATGCTGAGCGATCTTCATGATCTCAGGATACCATGAGCATGGAGGGGATTTCAGAAAATCAGAGATATCAAAGAGAAGTCTATTTATCAACAATTCTCCCGAGATTCACACAAACTCTTAGCTGTTTTTCTATGTGAATCTTATGTGAAAGTCGGTGTATCTTGGGTTCACCATAATCTATTTCAGTCTGAAACATTTCCAGTGCGATCGGAAGGTCAGATCGGTGTGATTAGGAAGCAGTCTTATATATACTAACATCTAAGAGAACATGAAAGTCCCTGAAGGCATAAACACACAATACCAAGTATAGTTACATTACAAGCTGATCCCTATCACACTAATAATGTAAGACAGTTAGAAATGTTGTAGTCATTGGTGTCACGATAGCTATAGAGGCAGAGACAATGGCTGCATAGCCTGCGTGATGACGTCACCTATTAGCTTACTATACTCAGATGTCCCTTCTCTACACTCCAGCCACTGCTGGGATCTGATCATGTGACTGGCTTCAGAATAGGTAAGTATACTCATCTTTTCTTTCACAATGTAGTTAAAATAGTCTTAGAATAGGGGTGGGAGCAGCTGTAAATTAGAACTATAGGCAAAACCTTTTTTTTTTTTTTAATTTTGGATAGAGTAAGGGAAGGATATAACCCCTTCAGATTTTTTTGTTCACTCTCTGTGTCCCATTGTGGAGATTTTACTTTAGTTCCTGTCCCATAGCCAAACAGGAAGTAAGAGGAAATCCCGGCAAATTAAGGGAGTTTCTTGGGGACACCCAGTTCTCTCCCCCATTTGGCAGATTTCCCCCCTTTAACTTTTTAGGGAACAACCCAAAATTTGAGATTTTCTTCTTACCTTTACTTTCCATGATAATGGTAAACAGGACAAATAGAGAGGGGAATCTCCCCAACAGGGTCACAGATAGTGATAGAAACTGACCGGCATTCTAATCCCTCTCCAGTACATCCAAAACTAAAAAAAAAAAAGTTTTGCCTTTAGTTACATTTTAAGTATAGTCAGGATTTGCCTGGAATTACACCCATAACTCCCTGCACTGATGCCCCCCTCTTCCCTGACTACTTATATCTACAGCACTGGTCCCTAGTAGTGGACTGACTATGCTGGTAACTCTCTTGGTACCTGTTCTTGATTTAGATATACTAGGATCAATGACAGTAGGGAGGATGTAAGTGGAGAGTTAGAAGGGCATCAAAATTCTGAAATGGGGCCCCATGATCTATAGTTATGCCCCTGTTTAAATATATATATATATATATATATATACATTCAAGGCTCAAGGTAAAGAACATTTACATATTTAAGTTTCTCTGTGTTACTCTAGAATCTTCTCAGAATGATCCTTCTCAACTTGTTGCTGGCCTGGAAGATGATGGCAGCTTCCACCGATGGTGATAGTGATCGAACAGTCCAAGAAACCATACCTATTGGGTCTGTGGACTCTGGGGATTTTCTGAAAAACATAAGCACCTGAGGCATGGAGAAGGAGGTGAACATGAGAAGTAAGAAGAAGATTGTCCTCAGTGCCGTGACATGAGCCTGAAGATTTGGACGTGTTGATCCAGAGTCGTTATTCTTCACCCTCCAGACGTGTCTGAGCAGAAAGGAGGAAGTGAGGACCAGGCACAGAAGACTAAGGCAGAATGGCAGAATGATGCCTAGGAAGGTGGTGGGAACAAAACAGGAATAATTAACATGGTAAATATAATAGGTAATAGGGGCTTCTGTACTGTTCTTAGCAGATTGGATAAGACTTTCTTCATTGAAATTCCAGATGACCAGAACACTCACAATGGATATCACAAGTGCTGTCAAAAACAAAGCCTGACTCAGGAAATTTGACACAATTCTCTTTAACCAGATGAAGAACCCATAGCTGAGATTGGTGATGCTGGTACAGTAATGAGTGGAGAGCCAGGCAGTCAGCCAGAAGCTGTAATATGTTAGGGAGTAAACTGATATCATAACGACTAAGTATAGGTCTCTGATGTATGAGAAGACTTCAGGAGACAAGGCAAAGTACACTCCCTGGAGAACCAACAAACATGGGAGGACAATATTCACCATTCCCTTCCCCAGAAAGATCACATCGGTGGGACTCAACTTCTCCTTCTTCCTGATGCTGTCCAGGTTACCCATCACAATACAAGTGTTAGGAGGTATTGCCAAGATGAGTCCCAAGACTGCAGAGATTAAACAATACAGGGAGTTAGGGGTCAACATGTCCAGGTTTGGTGTGAGCTCCGGACAGAGATGACGGGACACGTCCAGTGATAGCAGACAGAATGATATGCAGTATTTAGAATCTGAACTATAAAAAAGCCTTCAGACATCCGTCTCATGATTGACTTTGCATAAATGTGATGGATTTCATTTCAATGCCGACATCTAAAGCCCGAACAAACTGTGTAAATAGTTTTTAAATAATTTCCGTTGTAATTATGTATGTAACCATATCAAGACTGAAGGTTGATTGTCCCTGACTGACCATTCCGTACATTTGCAGTCTGACTTTTGATTTAGCATATCGATGGAGAACAGACAAGGATTTTTATGTGAACTTGAGTTTGTATAACACTGTGCAGACAATCTTAGAGAAAGACACAAAAATATACAAGAAAAGATATAAAAAGATAAAGAAAAGATAAGAAAGAAAAGGCAAGCCTTTTACACACCTGAAAGTCAGTACCTCACGTATCCTCCTCCCCTGCTTAAACTTGTGGAAAGGAAAATGTTTTGGCAAAACACAGTGGACCTGTGAAAGTCCATCAATGAAGATGGACCCTTTTCTGGGTTCCTGGCCTGTGTTCCCCATAAAATGTAAAGTCTTGTATGGCTGGAAACCACTTTGTGATCTTTGCAATGTTACCCTCTTGAACCATCTATTGTAGAGAATGGTATTTAATCAATTGGGACTGTCTGCCCAAAAGGTACATCGAGACCTCAATGAGGCTAGCGCCCACATTATGGTCAGACATTCCCTTTACTTTCTGGACTGGTTCACTTTTGGTTAGTTTCCTCCTGAGGTATTCTACTGGATGTTTTTTTTTGACAGTAATTTCCCAGGACAAGGCTACTTCCAAGCCAACATCTATTTGTACAAGAAATTCTTGACTGAAGCTGGAAGTGGTAAACATTGTTCCCTTACACAATACTGCCTTCAACTTAGAAAGATCTCTTTGTCTCTTCATTCTACTTTACCATGTTGGATTTTCTCCTTTTGGTCAGATCAGTGTGTGATGCTGCTATAGTGGCAAAGTTAGGCACAAGCCTCAGGTGGTGTCCTACAATCTCCATAACCTACTTGTCAGGTGTCAGGCTTGGAGACCAGTAGCTGTAGCACTTGAAAGGCTCCCACCGACTAGCAGGATAAGTAAACAATCAGGTCACCCTGGAGTATGATGCAGGCTTACCTGAGGTGTGGGTTCTAAGCATTAACTGGCATTTACTAGAGCTCCTAATGGTGGAGATGGGTTTTGCTGCATGTTAGTACCATGTCACGGTCCTCAGGATCACCCCATCAGATGAACAAGCTGTGGTCAAGTAGCAGATGTAGCAGGTAGGCATAAGCAGAAGAGTGATCAGTAAACAAACCAAAGGTCAGTATCAAGTGGTTGCAAGTTGAGATCAAGCAGAAATGTAGTCAAGGAACAAGCCAAAGGTCAGGAACTAGTGGAAGTGAAGATACGGATGGCAGAAGGAGTAAGATGAGCAAGATATTGACTAAAGAGAGAGTAATAATCTGGCATGAAGGAAGTGCAGAGACATGGCTTTAATTAGGAAGTTCATGGGAGGAGCAAGGAGTTGAAGTGTCAGGGCTCTGTCCACAGCAGAGGTACTCGGAGACCTGGCACGGATGTCAACCAGAACACGCATGCGCACTGGAGCATAGTTACACACACATTAGCTCAGTTTGGTGCCAGACGGCCTTTATAAGGAAGCCCATCACTCCCTCAAATTGCTGGTTGATCTCTGGCTCCCCAGTACCTTTGTCTGTGTTCCCTTGCTACTGTGATCTGCTGTTACCAATTCAGCTTGTTCCTGGACCTGTTTTCTCTGCCTGACTCCTGATCTGACCCTGGCTTGGCTAATGGATAATTCTCACCTGCTCTCCTGATCTGACCCTGGCTTTGCTAATGGATATTCTCACCAGCTCTCCTGATCTGACCCCAGCTTGGCTAATGGATATTCTCACCTGCTCTCCTGATCTGACCCCGGCTTGGCTAATGGATATTCTCACCTGCTCTCCTGATCTGACCCCGGCTTGGCTAATGGATATTCTCACCTGCTCTCCTGATCTGACCCCGGCTTGGCTAATGGATATTCTCACCTGCTCTCCTGATCTGACCCCGGCTTGGCTAATGGATATTCTCACCTGCTCTCCTGATCTGACCCCGGCTTGGCTAATGGATATTCTCACCTGCTCTCCTGATCTGACCCCGGCTTGGCTAACGGATATTCTTACCTGCTCTCCTGATCTGACCCCGGATTGGCTAATGGATATTCTCACCTGACTCCTGATCTGACCCTGGCTTGGCTAATGGATATTCTCACCTGCTCTCCTGATCTGACCCCGGCTTGGCTAACGGATATTCTCACCTGCTGTCCTGATCTGACCCCAGCTTGGCTAATGGATATTCTCACCTGCTCTCCTGATCTGACCCCTGCTTGGCTAATTTATATTCTCACCTGCTCTCCTGATCTGACCCCAGCTTGGCTAATGGATATTCTCACCTGCTCTCCTGATCTGACCTCGGCTTGTCTAATGGATATTCTCACCTGACTCCTGATCTGACCCTGTCTTGGCTAATGGATATTCTCACCTGCTCTCCTGATCT